ACTTGGAATTGGTAAAAAAATTTGCAAAGAAGTTATACATAGCCTGTTTGGCCAATGAAAGATATATGATACAAACAGTTAGGACCAACCATAATAGGCTTCAACCAATGCCATATGTCCATTTTGACAAAGCCATTTACTGTTTTATCAGAAATGACTCTTCCAGATTTTTGTTATTATTAGGGAACCACTCAACATACATATTGGACCATATCCAGTTTAAACCTATCATCCATCCACCAAAATGTTCTCAATATGAAGATTTCCTATTATTTCCAATGAATAAATCAATGAATATCACTAATTACTAGGCTTCATCATAATTTTTGGCTTACTAATTAGATATGTCAGACGCAAGGCCAAAACCTCCAAAACATTAAGATCTCAAGAGACTAGATCCAACCTCTAAAAGATCTCTTTGGCTATTGTACATGCAAGCATGAACTTTTTGATATTCACTGAGGTCAATTTGCTCAACAAGAAACTATAGATATTTAACCCTGCTTCATATTACATGATGCTAGATTCCTGAGAAAATGCATGTGCATTATCCCTCCAAATCTAAGTAACTAAGAATAACCATGCCATGATACTTCTTGCAACTAGTTCTATCTAAACCTTGCTCTGCAACAGCACCTAACATTTCTATACTATCAAAGGAGGTGCCAAAATTGGAGTAGTCCCCTGCAGATGAAAACTTGTATACCTTATGTTCTACAAATGATAGCAAGGATACACAGAAGCCAGCCTATCTGCAATCACTAGTTGTCCTAAGGGAGTTGGACAGAAGCAAACTAGACATGGAACACCGCACAATAAAGTCTAGATCTGAAAGTTATGGGATATAGATGAAAATTTAGTATTTTTGAGAAGAGAACATTGAGATAGATAAGTGAGATTACTAGAAAATATAAAATAAGAAAACATATGAATCCTCAACTAAGTAGGACTAAATGGAATGTGTGCAGAATAACAACAAGCAATGACAATAGAAGAATCAAGTCTTAGAATAATTTTTTTAGGATTGGATCTATTATCCAATAGGAAGGGGAGAACAATAAAAGCTAACCACAGGAATATAGTGGGATGGCAAAAATAAAAAGAAATATTGAAAGTTTTATGCGATATTCTTGTGCCCTCAGACTGAAAGAAAATCTTATTCGAGAGGTAGAATCAATTGTGTCTTTTGGGTTAAAGTGGTGGGGAATATTAAAGTGTAAGCGGCAAGTACGAAAAGATAATATTGCTAAGAACAAGATGCTGAGATGGATGTGTGAGTCCACTAGAAAAAGAGAACACAAAAAGTATTTATACTCATGAGTAACTGAATATATCTAGTCGACCAAGTTTATTAGGACTAGTAGTGTGGAGAGAGGTGCAGGGAGACATAATACCTTAGAAAAAGAAATAATAGTTCTTAGTTTAAACAATAATGCTGTCCCATATATCCAACCACAAAAAGTTGGTAATATTACAGCTTGTTGTCATAGGTACTAATAATAAAAAATCATAGAGAAGTCATTATGTGTATCGCAAAGGAAAACATGTTCATCCAATTAGAAATTCGTTATCAGTTTATGAGAACCTGAGAAACATGCTGCATGTTATATGCTTGTTAAGTAAAATATATATACAAAGGCATTAGAACCAAATCAAAGGACAAAATAGGACGGTAAAGGGCAGAAGTAGCACCAAGAATATAACCTCTGTGTTTCTATTATGGGAAGACGGACAGTGATGAGCTCGCAGAACAACTCAAGGATCTCCTGTGCTGCCATCATGTTCTCCTCCCGGATTATGTGCTCCACCTTCCATCAACCCCAAAACACTTGGTTTTCAATGTTTGACACTTCCAACCAAAACATAGCACATCATTCTGGTCACGATCACATTCTGAAAGGAAATTACACCATACCCGAATTCGAGCAGTGGCTTCTTGGCCATTCTCAAGAAGCTTGGCAATATCCTTCCGCATCTGCTTCAGCTGAATCTCCCTTCGATTACGCAGCAACTTTATTCTCGGAATCGTCAGCTTCAACAGCGTTTTGCTTCATCACACAAAAAGCAATGATCAGGTCACGCTAAGCCATCCAGTAGAACATATCGACCTTTTGTTTTCGGTTCCCGAATATATAAAATTTCCATTTAATCTGATAAAATAATTCCATAACACACATTTTTCCTATATACACCCACGAAAAAATTACACCAGAGAGAACCAATTTTGCCCCTTCGGAACGAAACTCGAAGCACCCACGATCAAGGAGAAAAAACATCATGAATCCACAAAGAAAATTTGACGAAAGGTAATACCCGCAATCTAATTCATCAAGAATCACGAAATATCAGAGGAATATGTAAGAAGCACGAGAAAAGAGGAGGAGATCGTAAGGATTCATCGATCGCCGGCGTACCATTTCGCCCCTTTGAAACCCTTGCTGAAGAAAGCGTCGATCATCGACATCGCGAACCGGGGCTCCTCTCCGACCCGAGATCCAAGCTTCTGATCAGATCACACGAGGCAGCGTCGTCGTCTATAGATCAAATCTTATCAAACCAAAGCACGGAGATGAAGGAGGGGAACGGGGGCGGGTCACATTTGTCCCCGCACAATGATTGGTCTCATCTCGACCGTCATGCACACACGGCGTATCCGTGGACGGTGGGGATTAGCTGGCACGAAGATTGACGCGGTTGTGGTAGCCTTCGGCTCGAAGGATCCTTCGTTCACTGCCCTGTCAATTCGGGCGAGGACCCGAAGACCGGCCTCTGATGAAAAGATCCGATGAAATCGTCCTCTCAGACTCATCCCGATTAATAATGTGTACGTTCGGTGGGAAAGAGGTTGGTGTGGTAGATTCATACAACATGAAGTATCATCGTGATGGTGTTCTTCTGTTTCCCTTCCTAAACTTTTGGTGGACTAATGCGCGAATGTGCCTCGGTTTAGAGCTTATTGCTGAAACAATGCATTGAAATGTCTTCTTTCTGCTTTCTGAGATTGAAATTACATATTACCCCTTAGTTAATTATTTTAGTTTTTTATATTTAAAAAAATTATATTATATTTCTAAAATTATAAAAGTAAAATATTTAGGTATATTTACATTAACATTATCAATCTTACATACGAAAATATAAAAATAAAAGTAAAAAATGATAATTTTAATATTTTAATTGGTAGTAACGGATAATGTCGATGGTGACAGGTGACGATATCATTAGAGTCATGGGTAGTTATTGTAGATGAGAAGAACAATAATGAGATATAAAAATCATTTTATCTTTTCGTTGATGTTTATGTAATTATCGAATGACCTTTTCATTACTTTGCATTTGTGTCGGTATTGATGTAATTGTCAAGTAATAAAATGATCACTTGATATTTGTATTAACGTCAACATAGATAGTAGCAATCGTCACAACGTCTACGATGAAAATAATGATCGCCTCACCATTGACTTATTGGGCAGATAACTCAACCCGAAGCATATATAGCTTGCATTAGCCGGAAAAGGAATCAGAGTTTGTATTGTGATAGTGTAGTTTTCTACCAGTAGTAGTAAAGCATCTATGTAACCCATCCCAATAATTACAATATTACGAGTTGTTCTTGATATTATTTAGAGGTTGAACAAAAGTGATATTTCATTTGATATTTAAAAAGAAAAGAAAAGAAAAGGGCAGATTTCCATCTTGAATAAGTCGTTACTATTTCCGACAGTTACAACTCCCAGTCGCTTGTCAGAGTACAAAACGTCTTTTGCCATATGTAATATTTTCCGTAGAATAACAAGCACACCATACAAACGGACCATGAGAAGCTTACAAGAGCTGCGTACGTTGCCTTGATAGCCACATTATTCTAAAGCAGCTCTTCCTTTTCTCACCTGTAGTGCTAGTTCAGGTTGCCTACCGTCTAATATATATTTCAACTATATTAAAAAATATATAATATTTTTATTTTAAAAATAATAAAATCGGATTTTATTTTTTTAATATGTATAATATTTTTTTAAAAAAATAAAAATCATATTTATTAATAAAATAATTATTTTTTATTTATTAAAGATTCGAAAATTAGTGAATCAATCCGATCGGCTGAATCAACTTCTCCGCGTCACTCCTAATATGTTTCCACCCACTCTGATCCGCGGCAGTATGTTGTCACAAATGTTATGTCGAAGAACCGGTAAGTCAGAAATGATGATGTCAAGTTAACCTCATATGGGGCCATAGGGACCCTGAGGCGGTTCTCCACCGCTTCTTGTGCGACGCACGAGAAGGTCACATTGACCATTTCCAACCGACCTCGGACGCCGTCAAAGTCCAAGGCCCATTACTGCGGCAATCGGCATGTGTTACTTCCAGCGCCTCCCGAGGCTAAAATTCTAACATCAATTCGAGATTGAAGTGTTTTAGTTGGCCAGTCTCTTTTGTCCCTTTCGTCCTTTAGTGGGTCAGATCTGATTCCTTGCGTAGTTTCAACTTGCAGCTTTTTAGTCCCCAAAATTTTCAATTAATTTATTTATTTGGAAATAATATAGTGAATTGATTGAAATATATATTTATTTATTATTGATGTTAATCATCTGTGTTCTTTTCTGAGCAATTCCAAGTCAAAATTCCCACCGGTCCTGCAACGAAAACTCCGAGAGAACGATTGAATTAGACAGTTATAAAAGCAAATAATGCACAATAACAATAAAGCAGAAAAATTATAACACAAAAAAGATAATTCTTTACCTCACGGAACAACGGACGCGCATACGACGGACGACGGTGGTGACGCTGTTTACACCGACGGCGACGGAAACGACGCCCAACGGTGAGCATAACGGAGCGGACGAACACGTTAGCTCTGCTGCAATGCATAACCAACCCAACATCACAGTCAGTTAATTGCGACCAAAAGAAACTATTTCTCGAACATAATTAGAAAAAAATGAATCATTGTTAGGTTATTTAGAGCAAATTAAATGAATTTTTAAGGATTTTTCTTTTACTTCAAGGAGTTATTCTCGGTTCGACTCAATCTGTTTGTTCAATTGGCAGCATCAACGCCTGCCACAAAAGAGTATGTACAAACGAACGGCTTGATCTGTTCGCCGCCCCACTCGAGATATTATTTTTCCCTGTCTTTCTTGGTACAAAATGCTATGAACAAAATGAAGTAATCCGAAAAATCCGAGCTCCGAAACGCTCCAAGATCTGGATCGCGGTTGCCGGCGAATCTCCGCGGTGATGATGAGGAGAGGTGATGAAATATTTATTATTTTGAATGATATTTACGAACCTGGTACGAGATCTGTGGATCGGACGGCGGGGATCAGAGATCGTCGGCCTTGGACATCCGGGAGAGGCGGCTGGGGCGGGGTTGGAAGCCCGCCCGCCGCCGCTGCTGGTGGGAGGAGGGGCGGATGAGAGCAGCGAGGGCGCGCTTTACCCACTCGCCCTCCACGGCCCCGATCCGGACCAGCGAGTTAGTCATAGCGGACCGTCGAGCGTTGAGCCTATTGGACGGCGAAGAGGCGGCGACGTGGCCGTGGTGGTGCAGGTTGAGGCCTTTGTGGAGGCTGCAGCGGAAGGATCCAGGGTGCGTGCTGGGGGAGCAGAGACAGGTGCGGCGGGCGGGAGCGGCGGCAGGGGCTACGGATCGCTTGTCGGGGGCGGCTAGGGAGCGGCCAGGGGAGGTGGACCGGTCGAAGGACAGACGGACGGAGGGGGTTGGGGGATGAGCAGCGCCGACGAAGTGGACACGGGTGGGGGAGGCGGATCGGTGGTGTTGATGGTGGTGGAAGAAGGAGGCTTGAGAGTGAGCGGTGAAGCTGGAGGAGGAGGAGGCGAAGGCGGAGGCAGTACCGCCTCCTCCGGGCGAGATCGAACGCCGGAAAGGGAGCACCGGCCCGCTAGATCTTCTTGAAGACGTCGCCATCTCTCTCTCTCTCTCTCTAAGTCAAAGCCGAAACGGAAGAAGTACCTGACTGGTTGGAGAGCTGTGGGCTTCCCGTCTATCGAGTTTGGCAAACACAGCTTAACTCCGGCGTGGTATTTATAGCCAGCGAGTCAGGGCATAGGTGGTAATGAAAGACCACTTTCGGTGAGAACGGGTTGGTTCAACCACAGCGGCCGTCGGATGCGGGTTAGTTGACTCGACGCAGTCAGTCAGGACGCGTGACTCCCAAGCAACGGATCTCCACCATGCGCCGCCCGGTGGTCTCCACGCGTCGGTAACGAGCCTTACCTTTCTGTTTATTGAGAGATTGCCATTGAGCAGGACGTGCGCGCATAGAGCGGAGATGCCGATGTACACACGGCAGGCGGTGAAGGCACCGGTGGTGAGCAGAATTTAGAAGATTATAATAAAAGGATGGGGTATTATTGCTGACGAAAGATCCGACTCTTGCGAATTGGGAGAGCCGGCTCCAGCCATCATTATTTGTCGGGACCCGCCACACCACCCAAACATTAGTTGTCACTTTGATGGCATCAAAATGTTCCATAAAAATCTTTAGTATTAGCGTTCGGGTCTCAATCTACGATAAAATATCGTAGTATTATTTTTTATGCCGAAAGATGACGGGCGGCCCATTGTTACTTGGAGGAAGCTTGTAGCCGACTGAATCATCAAACCGTGGGGGACCATTGGGAAGAGTTGGCAAGAAGTAAAATCTAACAATCGAATGCAATTAGCTGGATGTTCTATTAATTGAGAGGTTGGTGTAGGAAAGAAGACATATTGTCGGGTAATAGATATATGGCTGGCGGTCGATGTGATGGAAATTGCGTCTTTCTTCTTTCGTGGCTTCCCCAAGTTAATTAGCTTTTGCTATAGGCAGACACGGTTGAAGGAATTATTGGCATTGGATGTTAAACATAAAGCTTCTGTTTCTTCTAGAAGTCTGTAGAATTCGGATTCTATTTGTGTTGGGCACATGCTTTGGGGCTTCGAGAATCTAAGCATTAGAGCGAGATGACTTGTGTTAAAGGTATAAAGTCAACAAAAGTAAATGCATTTTTCTCAAACATAAATAGTTGACATACCACGTGGTGCGACTATTATGAGGTGGGGAGAGACGCACATAAATAGTTGACATACCACGGATCTCTGATGAAACAGAAATTTGGGCCATGGGAGAAAAGCACCTCTATGCTAACTAGTCACCAGCTCTAATCACAAAATAATTAATGTATGGCACATTCAGCAGCTTATTATTGGGTAAATGTAAAGGTCAGGTCGTCAACAGCGTCCATATTAAGCATATTGCTGGTTGAAACAACTTACTTTGAAAGCACATAAATGAAAAACTTGCCTTCAGGGTTTAGGCAATAGACTTTAGACAATAGACTTTTAAGCAAAATCTCAGATAAAATTCCTAATATCCAACGACTTGACGTCAACCATCTGCTCATCCTTGAACTCCTCCCTGCAAGAGTTATGAGCAATTAGCACAACTTATACCTTGAAATAACTAAAAAACACAGGTCTAGGACATCAAAAATAGCTAAAAATATGCCTCAAAGCAGGTAAAATGATTAAATTGTAGATTTCTCAATTTGTATTCTGTAAAATGAATAAATGATAAATTTCTCAATTGTCTTCTGGTGAGGAATATTTACTTTAACCTCTATCAAGGAGATGAGACCAACCTTTTAAGATGGGATTCCATTGCTTCGGTTACCTCCTCCTTCAGACCCTGCAGATCTTCTTTAGCAATTTTGAGTTCCAACTGTTCTTCATACTTGGGAAGATCTTCCTTTTTAATTCCCAGTCTAATTCAAATTTCAGAAATGGAGACAAGGTTAACATTCAATTAGTGCACCATATATAAGCAGGTAAATGTAATGGCCTTCATAATGCAAATGATGACATTGAGACTGATGTTAAATCTTATATAAAAACTTGCAGGGATCAATAGGTTAGGCAAACATCTCTGTGGCACTGATGGGTAAGTCATAATTCTCTAGATCAAGTCAATTGATCTCGTTATAACTATAACTGTAGCTTCTATTGAGAGGGCACAATTTACCATAAATGGTATCAGTTGGATTTAACTGATACAAACACTCTTTTGGAAACATGCACAATATGACCAGGCAGCAGTTTATCAGATAACCACAACTAGTCATGCAAGATTTAAATAGCTAACATAGTAAACAGATTTAAAACTCACTTCTTATTGATCTTGTCAAATTCAGTTAAGAGCAAAGCCATGTTCTTCTTGTCCGACCTCAGCAGTGGCTTCTTGATCTCTTTCTCAACCTTCTCCAAGGCTTCCATCATCATAGCCTCAGCACCAAGATCATCTGTAAGGCAATTCCTGACAAAACAAATGCACAATTCTCATCAATAAGAGAAGATGATGAGCAATGTTTTCTAAGCATTTAGTATTTACTTTGTAAATACATGTTCAAGCAAACAGGCTGTCAAATGTTGTTTTCTCAAGGTGATTCCAAAATACATAGCTATCAATAAAAGTTCAGTGGCACATAGCAAATATATGTTAATTTAAGTTTCAGCCTAAGCTAGACCTATCAAGACTTTGTAGCTAAAGATCTACAAAATAATAGAAAGTGATGTCTTAACAAATTTTATTAACATTCATTATTCTTGTATTATGTAATTGTTAGTATTTCTTCTTTTGATAACTGAAATTTGAGGCATGAGTTAAAACTTCCAGACAGGTACTCCGATGCAGGAGTGTTGAAACTGATATTATAAATTTGATCCTTTTTTTTTTCTTCAAGGACTCTAAATTCTATCAGTGCAACAACTGAATAAACAGGTTTAAGCCTTTGTCATGGATCCATAAACTCCACTCTTCCAGTAAATAATTCTAAGGATTTTTTATAGTTGTTAACTTGCTAAAGCAATGTGTCCATAAACTCCAGTCAGTCTGCTGGCATTACATGGAACCATACAATTCTCTAGCAATTTCCTTTTCCAAACTCCATTGTAACATAAGAAAACTTTGGGTATTTAATTATATTTATTAATTCATTAATTTTTTATAACCCAGTCAATTTCCTAAGCATACCTTCCAAAGATATCTAGAACTTCTCACTAACAAACCTGTGATCAGCCATCAGGAATAAAATTCATTATTCCTAGTTATTTTGACCTTTTCCTGGGTAACTGTGAGCATCTTGTAGCATTATTTTGTCAGAAGTACAAGATTAGCGATTATGAGAAAACTAAGACATAAGCAAATGAACATAGATGACTTTATTATAGTTAATAAATAAGCCACAAATAAAATATACTTGATCCGTATCTCCTGTAGTGTCAACAAGTATGTTCTAGCATCAGGAATGCCTTGTGTATGTTGCTCGATTGTGTATTTTATCCGTTGAGATTCTGAAAGCAGATTTGCCCTGCATGACCAATTTTATAAGCCATTAAACAAAAAGAAATGATTTAACCACAGATACGTTACATATAAGTATGATATAATTCATAAAAAGACCTGCACCATCACATCAGTTGAGGATTAGATTCAGCCACATGCTGTAGTTTGCATCAGCTTAAAAATACAACACAAAGTGCTGGAGTCTTAAATGAGCAGTTTAAATATTTGTAATCAATCAAATATAAGACAAGATATCCATATCACGCTGATTTTGAAACACTATAACAAAAAGAGGTGATGCATGGCAAACCTAGCCAATCTTATGCTGATCTTTATTATCAACACCATTTCCTTCCTAAAGTCATTCTCGATACCATTTTGCTCATCGTTCATATCTGCTTTACCACTGCTAGAATTTATTTTGCATAAACTTCATCTATTTTGGTCACTAAATAGGCTTTATTTTCTTTCTGCATTGTGATTATGTTGTTTATAGTTAAATGCAGGACATCTCTGTGACTTCAATTGATGATATTATTACAAATCTGAAGTTCTTCACTGACCATCTTAAGTTCTTGCTGATATGCAGAAGCAGGAAAAAAAGGTCAAATTTCATTGGAATCATTGCTTCATATTTGATGATTACCTGTTATTTGACGCCTCCTATGACAGAACTTTAATACTACATATTCCTACTAATTGTTATATTTTACTGATTTTTATCTTATCAGTCCACAAAGGACTACTTGTGATGATGTATTTCAGCCAAACAGGCCATTTATTACTTGAAGACTGCATTAGGTGTGCATTGAATGAAAAGTCAAAGGATGATAGATCACACTAACTTTTTCACTTAGCATAGATAATCATGAAGCACATAATGCAACAAAATAGCACACATTGCAATGTATCACTGAATTAAATTTTATTTTATTTTTCCTTTACCAGCACCTGAATTATCATCAAAATGTCATTTGGAAAGTTCTTAGCGTGGAGAAACATCATGGTTTCACTTCACATCCAGGCCTACTATAAAATTATCATGGATTGTAAACCTTAACATGGATATTAACAATACTGGGGAAGTTTCATAACAGTCTAAACGATAGTCTAGCGGTTGATGTGGCATACAACATAAGTGTAAATAAAATAATACAAACATATACTAGGAGAGACCAGAGAAGTCTTCAGATACATGAAATAACCATCAAGAACAAACCACAATAGCAACCTAAGACATTGAAAAACATCAGAGAGCTGAGGAATAACTTGTATTTCTAGGCAAAAAATTGAGCTACTCGAAGAGCATTGCATCAAAGAGAGTACAAAAAAAATGCAGACTAAAATGCAACAGCTGATATCAAATTTGTTATGGTCTTGATAACTTTGTCACCAGAGTAGAAAGCAAAACAATATCTTACTTTTCTCTTATGGTCTTGATAACTTTGGCATACTGAGAAACAGCTGCTGCATCATCAGGATCAATAGTGATCTTTTCCTTCCGAAGCACACCAAGGGCAATATCAAATTTGTTCTTGACCTCATAAAATATGCTCTTCAACATTTCTTCCAACACAAAAGTATTTGTTATGGTGAGCAAAACACTATAAACATGTAAAATAACTAGAACATTATGTTATTCTACCAATGACATTCTGACTAAATAAGTTCAGCACAATCATTTACGGATGTATTTTATTCTTTTTTATTTACTAGTTAGGCAGTCTCTAGAATCCTTTTTTGAGTCTATTTAGTGTCTTCAAATCCTAATGTGAATATAATATAAGTTAGGCAAGTTGTTTAACCATTAAGAATAATACTTAAAAATCCTAAAGATCTCTTTCATTGAAATGTAGAGAGTGACGAGATTACCAGAAAAGAAAAATCTCACACAAGACCTCTTAGCAGGCCATACACATTAGTGGCTGTAAGACCTTGAGTAAGTCATAGGACTAGTTATTTTCTCTATAGAATAAATTATTCAATTAATTAGTCAGAATTTGTCTCTTATTCAAGAAAACAAGTATATTTTATTAGTGAAAATCATATTAATGACTTTGAATGACATATGATATGAACCTTATCATAAGCCAGTCCCATGGAGTTTGGTCAGAATTGTGACAGAATATTGATAAGCAAAAACTTTAAAATGATGGACTACATACATACATACATACATACATGATTGTTCTGCTTTGTTAGATTATGATTGTTCCAAATATATATATGTATGTATATATATACATATATATACATACATATATATATACATATATATATATCTATATAATGGAAATATTGAAAAAAACACGAATCAAGCAATATGACAAGATTAATACTCTTACCATCTCCTTTGAGGGGTGGTAAATTAGAGGGTGCAGCTTCCTTTGCATAGGATCGAGCTGACATAGCATGATCATGTTGCCAAATGATCTGACCAGCATATAACTGCAGAACAAAACCACCGCAAACTTACTATCATCAACGAAGGCCTAGGATTTAGTATTCTGCTTTGTTAGATTATGATTGTTCAGCAATACCATCAACCTAGAGCAAATTACCCACAAGATAGCAAAACTTCAAGAATCTGCAGAAACTAGAAACTTTCGTTCCAAATTTCATAAGCTTGCCATGTAAATCAATGTCACATAACTAATTTGACAAACTATTTATGAACTCATTGGTGATAAAGTACAAAAAGCAACAAGAGTAGCACATAACAGATATGTTTCACTGATTATTTAATTGCATATGTGAAGGGAAATAACCAAATCAACAGAAACATCTCGAGTATGATGACCCAGAAGAGTTGATCCGATCATTGTTTACTAGCTTATTTCAGAGTACATTTTTAGCGATTATACTGGTGATTTATAATCAATTTGTGCAACATTTGTGCCGTATGAACGACGAAAAAAGCACCATCAGTTTCAAACGCTACCGTTATCACCACTCGCAGATCTACAACTTACAGAAATCGAAATCAAGTATTACCGAAAAACACAAACCCAACCATCAGTGATCGTGAATGAAACGGCAACATCCACAGAAAAAGAACAACAGATCATATAAAAAGGGTTTCGCGATGCTAACAAAATCGAACCCGAAACCCAAACCCTAAACAAAGATCAAACAAAGAAATCAAGAAAGAAAATGGCACCCGAGAACACATCAGGAACAACGCCACGGATCAAAATCAACAGAGAGACGGAAACGTCGCTGAATGCGGGGAGAGACCCGCCGGTCTCATCGGATCTGACTACCATTTCGAGGAGCAAACAATAGGGTTTCCGATTCGGAGGGATCGACCACGATCCAGAACAGCGGAACGATAGTTTACCTGTCTAGATCGGCAGAGGAGACGAGAAACCAACGCCATGGCGGCCGCAGCTCGCACTCTGTTCTCTCTCCCTCGCTGTGCTCTCCTATTACGCGAACAAACGCTGCGATTGGGGGTCGCCCCTCACAGCCTCATTGCCATCTTATCGTGGCTTGCATCACGCCGTCTCTGACCGTTGGATCCAGAACAGCGATGCACA